CATAGATAAAATGTATATGAAGTTATTTAGCTTGGTGATCAGCACATAGTAGGTACTCGATAAATATTTGTTTCATTTTATTTCTTAACATTAGTTTTCTAATTTTCACTCATTTAACAAATATTTCTGAGAATCTACAAAGTGACACATACTCTGCCAAGCATTATGTGTACACCGATGAAATACAGATAGAGACAGTGCTTGTTGTCAGGGAAGTTACCAGGTATGTGTGTAAAGTGAAGACAATATTCAGCTCACTAGAAGATCAGGCGGTCACATGAGATAATAATTGAAAATGCCTTATTGACTCAAAAGACCTATGCTGGTTCATTTTCATACTTCTAATTACAAAATAACTGTGTTTTCATTCCTGATACAGAAATACAGAGAAAAGTAAGAAGGTAGAATCCTAATATATATCTCAACTTTGGTGTGAGCATAAGAAACTTCCTTAAAGCATTACACTATGTTTGTTTGGCATGAGGGCTGTATAAATGCCAGAGGGCTAAGTGTTTTTGTTGAGACTGTCAGTGAAAATCTAGATAAGGAATAGATTTTTAGATTTCTGACATAAAGTAGAAGCAAAGGCAAATAGACATGGGGAAAGAGAAAGAATTTTGGGGTCCTGAACACCCACAGGTGGTAGGAGGAAACTCTGAAAAGACTGAATTAGTCCTTGCCCTTTTCTTTTCTTTTTTTTTTTAATATTTTATTTATTTATTTGACAGACAGAGATCACAAGTAGGCAGAGAGGCAGGCAGAGAGAGAGGAGGAAGCAGGCTCCCTGCTGAGCAGAGAGCCCAATGCGGGGCTCGATCTCATGACCTGAGCCGAAGGCAGAGGCTTTAACCCACTGAGCCACCCAGGCACCCCAGTCCTTGCCCTTTTCTAGACCAAGAATCTAGCTTGAGAGACAAGTGGAGAAAAGACACGGTATGACTATAAGTTGTATTCTCTGAGGCATTTATAAATGCAAAGTATGCATGTTGATATTTGTCAGTCCATATACACCCTGATTGGTCAATCACTGTCATTAGAGTGTCTTTAAGAATGGGAGAGAGAGGATACCATTCTTCTCTAATTTACCTAACATCTACTTACATTTCCGAAAGAGAAAATGATTAATTTCACTTAATTTTTTTAAATTGCTGTTGTTGAAGATGATGACTTTAATAATTAAATAATTTTTAATACTTTTAATAAATTTATATTATTATATTTATATATTATATGCTTTAATAATTTTGAAATATTATATGCTCATTGTTCAGAAGAAAATTTTTTGATAGCTTCTAGACATGGGAGACTCCAGTAGCTTCCTCAAATGAAAGACATGAGTTAACTTGCTTTACATTACAGAGGCAGGTCATATTTGATTTGAAGAGGAAAATTCTGGAGTGAAAGTAGAGCCAGAAAGTGTGAACTTTGTCCAGGAGAAGAGAAAGATGTTTCCTATTGCAATGTGGTCTGAGAGGGTCGGGGACATAAAATGTTGAGGATTTGTGTGAGTGTGTAATTTCGCATTGCTGTACAATGTGATTTCTTACAACTTTGCAGCAAAGACTTTATTGTCTGTTGGGTTTGGTTTCTCATAGAAACAAGTGAAATTACAGAGCTCTGCCTTCTGGTTGCTAGTTGCCGTAGGGTCAAAACACATCCTACACATGCAGCCATAGGAAGCTCTTGGCTGATGCTGGGTTATGTATGTGTATACCTGTTTTAGTTGTATTTCAACCCTGGTAAGCAAACAAGTAGACTGCTTTTCAGAATTACTACAAATCAATTAATTTCTTCTTGTAGTAGTGCAAGGTTTGCTCATAAATCAGAATATTTAAAACTTCCAGTGTATATATAGTTACAATTATTAATTGCTTTTATAAATACAAAAATTAGGCAATATTGGTGGAAAAAATATGAGACTTCAGAGAAAAGGGAAAAAGGAATGGATCAACCACAGATGTTCATGATCAGAAAACTGCACGAGGAATTAAGAAAAAAGTCTCAGAACACCTTGCAGGAATGAATTTGACCATTTTTCAGTTGAGCCTTGAACAATTAAGAGAAGAGTGGGAAGAAATCTAGAAACAGAGTTCAAACAATGAGGAATCAGAGAGGAATGGGGGATAAAATATGAATGTATTTTTTTCCCTAGGTTTTAAAGAATGGGGTGGGTATGCAAGGACCAATTATGAGTCCAAGTTGCAAGCAGCCTGATAAGAGGGATGGGACTCTGTGAAGGAAGGGTCACTGTGATAGAGTGAGTAAATGAGATATAACTTGTTAATGTGAAAGAAAAATTGTCTGAGTTTTATTTGAAGCAGAAACTTTTTGCCCAATGAAAAGGAAGAACTTAGTATTCCTAAAAAATGCTTTAGTGGTTTTTTGATAAAATTTCATAGGATTTGGACTTGGGGAAACTCACCCTTGTTGACTGTCACCCATAAGCCAAGAGCGGAGTCATTTTAAGCTGTTCTTTTCCTTTTGTAGCTAATCTAACAATGATTAGCTAACATTCTCTTTCCATAATGTTCCTAATCAGAGTACATGGTAGAACGGACCTCCTAGAGGCTTTCCTTCTTGCAATATTATACTAAAACTTTGATTCATAAGTAGTGTGCAGTTTTTCTTTACAATTAGAATCATCTAATAAACACGATTGCTGTATCATTCCAGAAGCTGGGAGGCTAGTGTTATTCTAGTTCAGCTCATCAAAAAGAAAACAACTCCAAAATGAATGAATCTAAGAGTCATCACCATTGTTGTGCTATCTGCTCCTGAAGTATTTTTTTTTTTAAGATTTTATTTTTAAGTAATCTCTTCACCCAATACGGGGCTCAAACGTACAACCCCAAGATCAAGAGTAGCATGCTCTACCAATTAAGCCAGTCAGGTGCTCCTGCCCCTGAAAAATTTCTATGGCACCCCAGTAGATACTGTGTGTTTAGTAGGCACTGTGTTGCATTGCTCAGAGTCTTTGTCAGAATGGGAGGACCTGTGTTCCCACCTTCTGAGGTTCACCAGCTGCTTTCAGAAACTGTCTTAGGCTACAGAAACTGTCTTCGGCTAAAGAGAATTACTTTCTCTAAGGTCACCCTCCTCACCTTCCTGAGGGCAGTCCATAGCAATGGTTCATTGCTATTGTGCTCTAAAGATCTAAATCTTCACCTTGGGACAAATTCTGAAGCGCCATCTGAGTTCTAGATATCCTTAGGGGCTGAGTCTTGTTGAAACTGCATCCCAGCCCAACTCTCCCTCTGTCTATGTGTTTGCTTCCCTCTCCCACCCCTGGTGCTGATTCTGAGAGTCTGCCCTAATAATAAATTCCTGCACTGGTCTCTCTGAGTCTGCTTCCCAGGACCGCCCTTGTAAGGGGCAGAAACAGCAGAACCTGGTAGGAGAGAGGTGGTGTGGGTAGATTTTATTTTGGACCAGGACACTTTATTGCTTCTCCAAGACCCACCCTAACTTGATCCAAAAAAAAAAAAAAAAAAAAAAAAAAAAAGGTTTTGACTCTATAAAACTTTCCTTTAGTGAATAGAGCTCTGCTGTAACTGGGGAGTGAGGGCAGGGGGAAAGGTTCTTATACAAAGGAATGCTCAGAGAGATCCTTGTACTTTCTGTCCTCAGAAATCTGGTTTCAAGGCCTAAGCAGGAAATGAAATGCTGGAAAAGCCAATAAATGAGTCAGAGACAGAGAGAATAAATCTCAAATACTGGCATAAAAGTAGGGTCAGATCGTGAGAATGAACTAAGGTTTAACATCGGATTGTGAATTTGTAAGCCAGAGTATTCAAAACTCAAGTGCGTATAAGTAATGCCAAGACTATTAAACAAGAAATGACGAAACTATTTAATCTATTCCTTGCCTCTTGGAGATAATCAAAGCCATCTGTTCCACCATTTTTAAAGCTGCTTCAAAATAATTACATTCCTGTCTTACCTAAAATTGTACTTTATAAAAAAGAGATTTAAATGTAACAATACTCTCTATCATTGGGTCACTCTGTTCACTCAACAACATTTTATTTAATAAGCATCTTTGCCTGCCATGTCCATATGTGTAAACTGAGTGCTAGGTTAATACTATAAACTGGCTTTTTGGGAGAAGGGAAAACTAAAGGGAAAGTACCATTGTTTAAATTGTAAAGAAAACCAGAATAAAAGGAAATAATAGTAACTTAAGATATTTGTAGTCAGGTTCAGGGCTGGTATCTAAGATGCCTCACTATTTACAATGTGACAACTGAACAATAACTTTGAGGCTTATAGCACTCTCAGGTCTCAGTGTATACCATTACTGCCATCTCAGCTACAATAGGAATAGTCACCTTAAGGAAACAAGAAAGTGGCATATTTTATATTTTAATTAGGCAAAAGTAGCATATCCACAAGCTAACCCCTCAGCTGGGCTGAATTTTTCTGGTTAACTCATTTCTACTTAAACTCTATGTCAGTGGAGCAGATGTACTCAAACGTGAAAAAGGAGAAACTCCAGGCATTTCTATTTTCATATATTTACTCCTCGCAACTTAATCCTCATAACCTTATAGGGAAGGTAGTCCTATGTCATTTTACAAATGGGAAAACTGAGAATAGCCACCGAGTTAGACAAGGGCTGCAGCAGGCCAAGGTACAAAGCAGAGGCCCAAGGTACAAAACAGGCCCCCTGTTGTCAGGGGGTATCTTGGTTATGTGCAGTTCAAGGTAAAAACAGGATCCATAAAAATGGATAAGAATAGGTAAGAATGGTAAGAATAAGATAGGTAAGAATGACTGAACAGAAATGGTAAACGGTTAGTGAAAGAAGGCTCTAAAAGAAGGCAAGATGATACAGCAACAAGAGGGGCAACTTCTCGGTATAATCAAGAAGCAGACTAATCAGGGGTGCTCTGAAACTCTTGACTTTTGTCTTCCTGTTATGGAACAGGAAGTAATACCTAGATCCGAGATTGGCTTTGAAGATTAGGTAAGACAATGTATGTTAAGACATGAAGCAGTACCTGGCACTTGGCAAGTCCTCTCAATCTGTGTTCTTTCTTCTTTCCTTATCTTTCCTTCCTCTGCTTCACAGCTGTGCCCAGAGGTGGTCTTAATTCTACAGAAGGGGATAAGAAATCAAAGTCAAGCCAGAGCTCACGAAGAAGGGGGAAAAGAAAACCACGGTCATTATTTAATTATGGATATAACTTAAAACCCAACCTATATTTTATGTCAAAAGTTGATAGGACCTTTCAGGTTTAAGTAATTAAATCTGATTTTAGGAACTTCCTGATATTGGGGAAAAAATATGGAACTCCTTGATATTGGGGGAAAAATATGTGGAGTCCACTTTGACATTTTTACAGGAGTACTTTCAAATATTCCCCAACAGCTGAAGCCAGAATGTAATCTACTCTTTCTCTAGCACTTATTTGCCTCCTAGGAATTCACAAAATTAAAGCCATATGAGTGCACATGCTTATAATCTCTCCATTGTCACTCCACAATTTCATGTGGACTGGCTTCTTTTTGTTCTCCTTTCTGACGTCAATCCTTTTTGTTCTCTTAGTCCCAGCTCTTTGAAGGAAGGGTCATCTAATTCATTTTTATAGCTCCAGCAGGCCAACTACAGTGCCATGGATAACATTTGCACTTAACAAAATGTTGTTGACTAAGTAGGTGGATTTGGAGGTCTCAATCCAATGTAGTAGTATTATCAAAGTCAGAGTGGGAGCATTGGGACATACATGTTAAAATGCAGAGGACTATATCGGAATTCAAGTTCTGGAGACCTCTAAACAGGCTCTTTAAAATGAAAAGACACAAAGGAAATTGGGCCAGAATTCGAGATTAGATTAGAAAGAGAACAGAGAAAGAGGATGGCAGCTCTGACCACCTGGCAGATGAGGGTCAACAGGGCAGGTAGGGGAAACTGGAGGATAACCCATCATATGAATTTTCATGGCTTTTACATTAGAGAATCAACTGTATCACCCTCGCCCTTTACTCTCTCTGATTTCACTTCTGTTTTTGCTTATAATTCTCTCTGTGTTTCACAATCAATATTTTCTGGAAAAAGATGACTAGGCCAGATGTTACCTGTATTGAACATACTTCCACATCTGCACACCTCAAAGTTTAAGGGCCACCCCATGACTCTTTTAAATCTGTTAACCCTGGTCTAATTTAAGTACAGCCAAGGTACACAAGACACTAACATTGGTAATCAATGTTGAAGGAACAGTTTGTGGCTCATTTCTGAAGGAGACTGCTGAGCAGTCAGAATTTTACACTTGCTCTCCTGTATACCTTATGAATGCCTGTGTTGGAACTAAGTTGGAATTGCCAGATTTAGTAATAAAAATATAAATATAAATTTATAAAACATAAATTAGTTTGAATTTCCTATAAACAACAAATACTAAATGTAGTATTTGGGATATACTTAAATGTGCTAAGATGGCTGCTTGGGCTTCACACGTAGAGGGAAGGAGAGAAACAAAACTGTTCATTCCTGTTAAGGGCACTTTTCTGAACAAATACCTTAAACTTAGCTTACTGGTGAGACTTTGGTCACATGGTCACATCTAACTACTGAGAAAGAAGTCTTTGCAGTGGACAGTCACATGCTCAGTTAAAAATCAAAGACTATTACTGAGAAGGAAGGGGAAAGTAGATATAGAAGACCAACTAGTCATCTCTGTCAGAAAAGTGATGGGAATAAAGGTATGTTTCAGAGGTAAAATAAACTGAACTAGATTGTATATGATGATGCTGATGCTGGGTTATGAAAGCAAAATAATAAAGTCTTTCAATTTTATTTCAACCAGGTCAGTTTACAGAATGGAGTTCCCTTTTAAAATAAATGGAAAATATAAGAGAAACATACATTCAAAACTTGTTAAGTGAACACCATAAAATTTTCAAAGTAAAATACTATACAGATACTATGGGAATATGACACAGTGGCTAACCAAATCTAGTAGATGACAGTGTGGCTGTCCTTCTTCCACTTTCCTAAGACAGTGTGATTAATTGCAGGTGCTTGCTATTATTGTTAGGAAATAAAATGTTTAGCATGGTATCTGGTACATACTAAATGTTCAATAGATTGATTAATGTTTAATATTTTTACCTATATTTCCAAACAGAAGAGTCACCCAGGAAATCAAATGGAAAATAAAAGAAAAATTTGAGGATGCTGTGAAAAGTAGTGAGAGGGGCTTTCTGCAGAGTTTATAGAAATGTACAGCGTGGGTATCATCCTGTAAGCTGGTTCTGCTGGCCAGGCAGTGACAGAAACCAATTTGTTTTCCCTTGGAGGAGACAGAGTAACTGTTTTACTGTATCCTTTTGGATTTCCTGGAAATTTGAACTTAGGACAGGAGGAAGGAGAGGCAATAGAAAGACCCTAGAATAAAAGTCAAAGATGAAGATACTACACATAAGCATTGGTGTTATGGCTAGCCCAGCCATTTACAGCTTTAGGGCCAAGGACAGCAATGCAGTAGTAATTTATTAATGGAGCATTAAGAGCCAGGCACATGCAAAATATGAGTGGGGATTCAGGGGGAGTGGATTAGAGAGTGGGTGCAGACAAGGCTGTCTGAAAGATGGTTCTCACCTTCTACAGCCAGAAAGACAGACTTAGTTAGAAATAACTCAGATATGGCAGAAAAATGTGATGGGGTGAAAAGTTGAGAGAGTGTTGAAGTATGGAGGATGAAGAGCTTAATTACAAAAGAACAGTTAGGGGTAATTTCTAGAAGGAAGTGAGATTTGAGTTGGACCTTGAGAGGTAGGTGGAATTTTAGGGGAGATTTAGGGGAGAGAGGAAAACTTTTCAGGCAGAGTGAATATCATAAGCACAGGTGTTAAAGGGTAGACTGTGAGGGACACCATGGCTCAAGAATTAGCCTATATGTACTATACTAGCTCTGGGAGTTACACAGCAGAGACAAATTGCAGTGGGCTTCTCATTGCAGATCGAAGATTTATGAGTTTTTGTCACGAAGGCATTAAGAGTTCTGAACAGAGTAAAAACAGAGTAAGTCTGTGTTGTAGGGATGTGCAATGGGGAGGATGGGCTGGAAAGGTCAGACCTGAGATCAGTCCACAGGCTGCTGTGATAGTCCAGAGAACCGTGGAAATAAAAACTCATATAAAGTAGAAAACACAATAGTCTCAGACTAGTCTGGCAAGAATGGTTATTAGTTACTTATCAACAAGCAACGAGGGTAAATTACTTAATCAGAGTATCATTATATGTTCTCTAAAATACTGCTCCAAATTACATCACAAGTTTGCTGTGGAAAGTAAATAAACATGTGTGAAGTCCCCGGTGAATGGGCCTTACTCCAGCAAAAATATTTTCAAAGTTTCTCCCTTATCCTTTGTAAGAACAACCTGTGGGGCCGGTACCACTTCTATTTCGGCCCTTAGGGTTGTTGTGCAATAGACTGGTCTTTCTTCTCTCTTCCTGGACTGTGTGCCTCACCGCCCTGGTCTCCACTCCTGGCCTCTCTCGGGCAAGCCTTCGCACACAGTAGGCTCTCAGAAAAAGCGTGTGAGCAAACAGGATGCGCAGGGCGAAAAGAGGCGGCCAGGACCAAGCAGCGCCCATCCCAGGTTATCTGCCCCTCGCCCGGTTCTCTGTTCTCTGGGTCGCGCCTAAGAGATCAGGGTGCCACTGAGCAGCGGGCACAGTCCCGACGCTGTTCAAGGAGCGGGGTTCCCTCCTCCTGAGGGCCGCGGGCTAGGGGATGAGGAACCCAAGCGACTCACTTCCAAAAGCGAACAGAAATCTCCCTCCTCCCGGCCTCCAGAGGTTCGTTGTCAGGAAATCCTAACCCCTTCCCCCTCTTCTCTGGCCCTCCTTCCGGCCCCTGGGAACCCGGGCGCCGTTTTCCAGAAGCCTCCTGGCCGGAGGCGGTCGCCGAGCGGGGCGGTGCGCGTGGGTGGGGGCTGGGCCGGGGGAGGGGAGTGCAAGAACTTTGAGAGTCAGCCTCGGGGGCCCGCGGTGACATTCCTGGAGGCGCCGCGAGCAGGCCGGCCTCTGGCGCCCGGACCGGGAAAGAGCCGCCGAGAGACGCCGCGGGAAGCCGTAGTGTCGCCGCCCCGAGAGAGACCCCTGGCAGTCCGCTGCGGCCGCGCGGGAAACAGACGTTGGAAGACGTGTCCGCGGGCATGGCCCTCTTCTTGCTGGAGCTATTGCTGCCGGAGCCACTCAGCTTCCCGGGCCTGGCCCTCGCCGCGGCCCTGCTGCTCGTGGTCCTGTGCTTGCGCGCCCGGCGCACCAGGTAAGCGCCCCTGCGGCCTCACCGCGCAGCTCCGCGGCCCGGGCGACGCATGCGCCCTGGGCCCCGCGGACCGTGCGCGACCCGGACGGCGGAGGGAGTATCCCCTCTCCCGACTCCTTGAGATTTCGAGTGCGGATAGTCATAACTTGCTGCGGGGCAGCGGCGTCTTGGGGGACTGTGTGTAATCACAAAGGCGGCTTCTGCGTCTTCCCCATACGTACGCATACATATTAAAGCGTTGGGACCGAATTCGATTTGCTGCTCCAGTATCGGTTGTATGTAATAAGCCCCAGGTTTGCATTATTCATTATGCATCACTCACGGCTTCCAAACAGACACATTTTGGGGCCGAGTTAACAGTGAGTTGATGCTTTATGGCCTAGAATTTGTAGAGCATTTCGAGGGGGAATTTTCTTACATTTCCTTCAGATAAAAGTGAAATATTTCAGGAGAATGGCAGTGTACGGTATGAACAATAACTCTGGGTGCTTCTCTGTGCCTCAGTTTACCTCACTGTACCTCATGTGGAAAAACGCGATAATAATACCTTCTGGGCCTTTGGTGACTACTAAATGAGTTTATAGTGTATATTTTGTGCATTTACTGTATTATTTTTATTAGGACAAAACCAATAACACAATGCAAGAACTGTGTCACTTCTTTATCTGATTTGAAAATGTGGAAGTAAAAACGAATATTCCAAGTAGAAGCATTCACTCGAAGTCACTATATTTTCTGTTTGAGATTAGATCTGTTTGCTTAGGTATACATACACAAAGATACGTTTATATGTATATGTGTGTATGACACAGGTTGTTTCTCAAAGGTTTGGGGAAAATGGCACCATTTTACTACATTCAAATATCTGGGGACGTTTCCAGAATGTTCATGGATTAATACTCTAGAAGGGAGTATTGCTCTTCTTACCCATGCAGATTTTCAGTGATTTTACTGGTATGTGCCATGCCCTCCCTCAGGTTGCCTTTCCCGATGGCTGTGCTTTTGCTTAGAGCCCAATGTGGGAATTTAGGACACTCTAATTTCTATGTAGGTTCCATCTTCCACAGTGTCTATCCTCAGCCAAGGCCACATTTAAAATAAAACCAATAAATTCAAGATACAATTTGAGTGGTGCTAGGAAACTCATTTCCTTTCCAGCAAGTCATTAATCATATACATATATTTTTAAAAATGACCTCCCCCCGCTTTTTTTTTTACTAATAATTGACTTAAATATAGATACTTTCTAAATTGTTATAAAGACAACATGTAAAAACAGTCTGGTTAGCAAGGCCAACTTGAAAACAAACATGTCTCTATTATTCTTTCCCTACCTCCCGTTCCTTGCAAAAATGACAAAAGTTAGTCCCAGAACAATATAAAATAAATATAAAATGGTTAAATTCTTCTAAATAAATGAAATACAGAGTGGAACTAGGGGAGAATCCATTTTATTATTTCTTCTGGTTTCTAAAGACCACTGGAATTCAATTTTTTTTCATACTCTAATGCTCCTGCCTCTGACTTATAAGAACCCTTGTGATTATGTTGAACGCACCCAGATAATCTAGGATAATCTTCCCATCTCAAGGTCCTTAATTTAGTCACATCTGCAAAGCCCTTTTTGTAATGTAGGGTAACATAGTCATAGGTTTGGGGGATTAAGACATGGACATCATTGGGGAACATCATTCTTCCTACCACAGTGCACCCTCTAACCTCCAAAGATTTATGTTCATCTTACATGCAAAATATACCACCCCGTCCCAACAGTCACAAAAACCTCAACCTATCACAGTATCAGCACAAGGTCCAAGATCTCATATAAATCTCATTCAGCTCCCAAGTCCCAAATCTCACCATTTAAATAATGTAAATTAGTGTGGGGATCTCGATATGATCGATTTGGGGACAAAAATTCCCAAGAACATCGTGGGTCCTTCATGTACGTGGCAGGGATTGACTCCCTTAATAAGAGGCTCCTCCACAGATTTTTCTTGGATCATTCCATTTACATTCCTGGCTTCTTTTGACATCGCTGAGGGGAAACAGTCACATGCCTCATATTTTCGATGATTGACCAATACTCTGCATGTGAATGAGTATGTATGATTAAATTGTCAAGAGTTCGAAATAGCCAATGTGAAACCAATGAATCACTGAAGTAGGAATTATGTAGAAATTATTGTGCGCACACCAAAAAGACAGTTTGCAAACTGGAAGTGCTCAAACTGGAACATGAAATGAGACTCAGGGGTATATTTTTATAAAGCAACTTGTATACTGAGAGAGTAGTGACTGTTTATTCTTCACAGCAATGGGTTTTATTATTACAGTTTTCAGTGGTTACCTCATATAAACCTTGGGAAACAGTTTAAGTTTTGCTTATCATTTCTAGAGGCACAGGCAAGAAATAATCCAGATCAAGTTATTCTTACAAAATAAGCTAAATTAAGCTTTGCCTGAATGACTAAACAGGTTCTGTCTGCCGAGGGAAGCTTCGAGACTCGTCTCCATCTAGCTTTGATTTTAACCGAATACGCCAACCTTTTGATTTTTCCCAGGCACTAGCAAAATGTGTCCAGCCACATCCTTGGCTTTCTCTCCAGAGCGCTCCTCCTTGATAGTGTCCTAGTTTGCAGTCTGGATAGGCTAAGAATTTCCCAAAGCATCAGTTCCTGGTCCCTCTGTGCCCAAGAATTCTTCCCTTCTTCTACATCTTCTCTCTCACATTTTACTGTAAGCAACAGGACAAACAAGGCTACCCCTTCAGCACATTGCTTCAAAATCTCTTCAGCTAAATATCCAAGTTCATCCTGTACAAATTCTGCTTTCCATGTAACTGCAGAACACAATGTAGCTGAGCTTTCTGCAACTCTTAAGAATCCCTTTTGTCCAGTTTACAATGGCATATTCCTCCTTTCATCTGAGCCCTCACCAGCAGTGCCTTTGTTGTTAATATTTTTATTTATGGACTATTTAGGATGCTGTAAGTATTCTTTAAGATGATATATATATATGTGTGTGTATATATATATATGTGTGTATGTGTGTGTGTGTGTGTGTGTGTGTGTGTATCCCCCATGATCCTCACTTTCTTCTGGGTCTTCATCAGGGAGCTCTTAACCTCTGTATTTCTACTCATCTATTCAAGGCAATCTGGATTCTTTTTCTATCGTCTTCCTCAAAATCCTTCCAGCCTTTGCCCATTGCCCAATCAAATTCATGTCTACATTTTTAGCTATTTGTCACAGCAGTATGCCACTTCCAGGTACAAAAATCACCCTTGTTTCCTATTGCTGCTATATCAAATTTTCCCAAATTCAGTGATGTTAAGCAACATGGACCTATCTCTTACAGTTCTGGAGGTCAGAGTCTTCCTGGACTAAGATTAAAGTTTTGGCTGAGCTGAGACCCTTCCGAAGGTGCTGGTGGAGAATAGTAGGTTCTGAGAACAACTGAACTTGCACTGTGTAAGTCTTCAATTAGATAAACACCTCAAAGATTGAGCCCAGAAGAGGTTGCCTCACCAAAAGACATTTCCAGACTACCTCAAAGAGAATCCCCTTCCTCAGCAGGAGATTCAAGGGTCCATGAATTCTGTGACCCTTGACTGTGCCTAACTTGTCCGAGTCATTTTCCTTAACTTGAAAATGGAAACAACAGCTGTCACACTAGGTAGATGTGAGAAGCAAAGTGCTGAGACATGTGAACGCATTTGTAAAGTATGCTATCACTTCAAAGACAATTGGCTTATACCATTATGTTTCTTTGTCACTTACCAGAAACCCTTTTTTCCTAGTTGCTGTTTAGGAGAAAAAAATGGGGCAATTTTCCTTCCTTCTCTCCTTCCTCTCCCCAACACACATATCCCCATGCCCCCCAAATGCTGTAATTGGTAAGAAATATGATTTAAATGCTGTTAAGATGAGTCAAAGTAAAAATTCAGTGATTTTTTTTCAAGCTGTAAGATGTCAAGGTTATGTAGATAATGAGTTATTTTGAAATGTTGATTTGTTGACATAACTGTATCACATAAGTCAATTATTTCCTCTTTCTAATTGATTAGTTATTCCCAAACTAGACATATGGTGCGCTAGATCCCTCACACTATTACCACTTCCTAGACAATGAGAAGAGCTAGGTTGCAATCATTAGTGGATTTTTTCTATCTTCCTCTTTGCTCATGACAAAATATAGGAAAAGGATGTGGGCAGCTGAAAGCAAGTAATTTTCTGCTCAAGATTGTGCTGAATTTCACAGGTGGATTTTTATGTTTTTACATAGGAGGTGCTAGAGAGAGCTCCAGGCACATTTGTGGCAACAAGTAATCAGTTATGCATGGTGCTACACTTTCCCTTATTAAACTGCAGTGTTTGGATTGGTCTTGTTACCATTTGAGACCAATTTCAATTTCAGGTGTGCTTTGCTGTTTTATTTTGTAACTTAAAAAAAAAAAAAAAGAAGGTCCTGAAGGTAAAGAATCTTCCTATTGTATAATTATAGGAAAGTGTGAGCTCTGAAAACCCTTCACTGTTTATTTGTGTACCCTTCAAAGTGACCATTTAATACATTGTTGATTAGGTCAACATTAAGGATTGCTAAATGCTGTAATCATATTTGCTGATAAATCCTGGCTATCCTTTAGAAGATATTATGTGTTTACATAAGAGAAATCAATTCAGAAGTTATAGTAGATGGGCGTAAATCGGATACCTCTGTAAGAATGAAATCTTGGAGTGCTTGCCTTAGAAATGTAGGACTAGTTATGTATCTAAAGTCATCCATGACTTAGTGTTCCCTAATGAGGGGACCTTCTTATAGAGGGCAGTGTAGTGTAAGGCAAAGAGCATGACTATGAAGTCAAATGGACCTGGACCCAACATCCA